TATATATATATATATATGCATATATTCTGCTTGACGGTATTTTTATTCCAAAAAACAAATGCATTAAAAGAAACATTTAATCAAATATTTATGCTTTTACACAAATTTCTAAATAAGGGATATTGAAATTTATAGCCCCTGTATGCAATACTAATTTTTGGACCATGCTCCAAAAGGATGAACTTATCTCTTAATGTAAACGAACATTATTTACGCTCCTCAGTGATGGAGAGAGCTTAAAGTTATCCTTTTCAAGTTTTTTCGTTCGTAGTTTATTTGTGTTAATAATAATAGTTTAATTTATTTAATTCACCAATACTTAATAATACAATTTTAGAACTGTTGTTGAATAGCCGACCTAATTTTTGGGTTTACGGCAACTAACTTTCAACTCCGTAGTCTAATAATTTTGAACCCAATCCAGACGATAAGGGAACTCTTGGATCAAGTATTTAGAGAAATTTGCTTTCGTCGTGGGCGTTTTGATGAAACTAACCCTCATTTGCGTTACACGGAGAGGAAAACTATGAAAGCCTCCCACGGTTAATCAAAGAGCCTAGGGACTCTAACCCATGATCCATCCACCAGTGAGGATACTTAAAGTCAGTACTGTGATCGGTGCGACCCTAGTGCGAAATTCGTATCGACGAGCCATTACTGGGATTCGAATCCAGTTCACTTCGTTGAAAGGCGAACGCTCTATTCCTTAAGTCACCACAGATCTTAGTAATTCAATTTGAACTAACGTTGATTAGGTATGTTAGAAATAAAGTATAAGAAAAAATAACTCTTCCAAATTAAACGCGCCCACATTCAGCTACTGCTTTTTTTTCCAGCATGTTTCGGTTCGAATACATTTATGACTCGCCCTCCCCGAAAAGATTAAAAAAAAAAAAGGTTTTTGCCAGTTATGTTGCAGAGTTAATTGCAATAAATAGATAAATTTGGGCTCGCCGAGGTGTTCGGACACAAATATAAAATAATAAATTCTAGGCAAGATGGGGTCTTTGTATGAAAACACAATCTTAATAAACATTTCAACATAGCTTTTTACAAATCTGTCTGTAAAATATAAACTTCAAACAATGCATTTAAGACATCTCAGTGGTTATGAAAGGATTTTTTTTTAAAAAAAGGCTTAGTTAAAATTTTAATTTTATGCTTGCCAAGCAGGGATCCTAAAATTATAAATAACTGAGTTTTAAAAAAATTATGAAATATTTTTCAAAATGAACTTAAAAACTACAAATTTTTCAAGTCACTCTAACAACTCTGCAATTAATTATAATGCGTAAATTTCAAAATAATTTTTTGTTAATCAATAATAAGATTACCTGTGTTTTCTAAAATCTTCCAAATATTTAAAAATGAAATACACACAAAAAATGAAGGAATCAATTTAAATTTGCTTACCTCCTAATCTTTTTAGAGGTGTTCTTTCTGTAAACATCTTTCCTGATTCACTACCTTCTTTAAATACATCAGCCGCCATATTTGTGCGTATTGCAGTAGGATTGACAGCATTCACTCTAATCTATAAAAGGAAATATTTGCACAAAGGACTTTGATTTTCACATTTGATTGAATTATAAGCCAATTTCACTGTCCTTAAATGGAAACAGTAAGGGGATAAATGAAAATGGGTTTAATAATTTTTTGTTTGGGACCAATATGAATGTCTAGATTTTGCTCCTCATCAGAGGTGAGCCTTAGCTGCCATCTTGTATTTACTGAGGGAAAGGGGAAGATATTTAAATATTGTTATCTAGGCAAGTTAAGTAGTGTTTCTGAAATATATTTGTTTAAACTTAATCAAATAAAATCAAACCTAGGACGTTAGGTATAGTAGTTCAGAAGTTTTATAAATAGAAATTAGCATAAAAATAATAGTATACAAATTATAATAGAAATCGCATAATAGTATTTAAATAGTAAGGGTAAAACAGAATCCAATGTATTGTTGAAAACTGAATCGACTGAGGTCAGAACCAAGTCGATATGATTACTTGCTATTAAGTTATAAGAGTTCTTTGCCTTAAAACTATAATGTTTTATTTTTGTCCTTTTACACACAAAATACTTTTAAATCTGATACTCTACAGTTTAATGTTAAGAATGCATACACTAAAAACAATGTCCTACTTTTCGATACAGCAATTCCAGACGTATAAATAGTTGCAAGAAAAAATATACTTTTTATGCATAAAACTTTTGTAACTCTTTTATACTTCGAACTTATTTAATCTATCTACTTGATTTTAAACTTGTTTAATATAGCTTAAAATATGTATATGCGATCTATTACTTTGTTTGTTAACAGGGCAACATATATGATCGTTTATAGAAGTACAAACCTGTTTTCATGCATGAAATTTTTTGTAACTTTTCAGCTTTCAGTCCTTTTGGCTTAGTGTGCTGCATTCGATTCAGCAAATAAAAAATATAAATCAATAACTTAATTATCTAGACACTAATTTCAGATGCGCAAATAACAATAAGTTAACATTTGTAGTGTTTTTGCATGAAACCTTATTCATTTCTAAGTTAGGCAGCTTGAAAAATGAAAAACTATCATAGATATTAATATCCCCAATAGCAAAACACAATTGGAAATAGTTCATAAAACCAGTATCAAATTGAGACTGGAACCAATATAAACGCTGCCGGAACCAGCTTAAGCATGCTGGAAATTCAAAAACCTATATAAAATTATGTAGCTAATTTTTAAACGTGGTATGGCATTACACTTGAAATATTGAGACCACTATGACACTATAGGGAACAACATCTCACTCATAGAGACATCATTGTTCGTGCTTCGCATCTTTGGACATGTCTCCTCTTTCTCTTATTTCAATATTACTGCTTAACATCAATTTTCAGTCTGCCCTTAATTATTTTCGTTCTCTTAAAATCGTTCCGGAGAATTATGGATGCAATTAATTATGCAACAAAAGCATTTTTTATGGTATCAGATCTAGAGTTCTTACATTGTGAGGTCCATACTCTGTAGCCATACATCTTGTTAGTTGATCTACAGCACCTTTACTCGAGCCATATATCCCCATATAATGAGTACATTTAAAACTTCCTATGCTTGATACATTTACAATCGATCCTCCTTTTCCTCGCTCTTTCATGCCATTGGCAACAATCTAAAGACAACAAAGTTTAAAAGCAATTAAAAAGAAATTTTTATAAAGTTTTGAATATAAAAGTAAATTATATGAGCTAATACGAGTATTTATACAATATTTAATTTAATTTTAGAAATTTAAAAAAAATTCTTGAACTTTTTCTACAAAACAGAGTAAAAAATCCTGACTTTTATTTTTTATATTTTTAAGCTCTAATTTTTCCGGAATATCTCAATAATTTAAATTTTTTTTCTTCATTTTCACGATTTTCGTCAAATGTCCTTTAGTCTACAATTTAAAGCACATAAAGCATTCATGATTGCTTAATTGTCTGCTTTTATGTAATAGTACGAGTTAAGAAAATGTATTAAGCTTCATTGTCTACCAAAAANGTTCTCTTAAAATCGTTCCGGAGAATTATGGATGCAATTAATTATGCAACAAAAGTATTTTTTTATGGTATCAGATCCAAAGTTCTTACATTGTGAGGTCCATACTCTGTTGCCATACATCTTGTTAGTTGATCTACAGCACCTTTGCTCGAGCCGTATATCCCCATATAATGAGTACATTTAAAACTTCCTATGCTTGATACATTTACAATCGATCCTCCCTTTCCTCGCTCTTTCATGCCATTGGCAACAATCTAAAGACAACAAAGATTGAAAGCGATTAAAATGAAATTTTAATAAAGTTTTGAACATAAAAGTACTCTATATGAACTAATATTTATAAAGTATTTAAGTTAATTTTGGAAATTTAAAAAAAAAATTCTAGAACTTTTTCTGTGAAGCAGAGTAAAAAAATCCTGACTTTTATTTTTTGTATTTTTAAGCTCTAATTTTTCCGGAATATCTCAATAATTTAAATTTTTTTTCTTTATTTTCACTATTTTTGTCAAATGTCCTTCAGTCTACAATTTAAAGCACATGAAGCATTCATGATTTCTTAATTATCTGCCTTTATGTAATAATACGAGTTAAGAAGATGTATTAAGCTTCATTGTCAACCAAAAATTTTGAATAAACGCCTCAGTTTTAAAATAGCACTTTTCATCTGACAATTATACTCTAGAAATATAAATACTCCAAAAAATTTACTCATGCGATTTAAATGTCATTTTCAACTTGCTTATAAAATATGAAATAAGATATCACCTTTACTTACTTGGGTAATATTTATGATTGCCTTTAAATTAATGCTGTAGGTCCTGGAACACAATTAAATATATGAAACATTAGTAACATTTTTAAATACATTTTTGGACAAAATAAGTATAATTTCAATCTTATAGTAATAACTTGAGCAATTTATTACTTGATTAAATTAATCGGACTATTTTCATAAAATTCCAATCTCTTTCCAATCCATTTAACTTGATAAATTTAACTCGAAAGTTGATCAAAGTTGAAAATGGAGCTATCAATCTTAGATTATCAATTAAGGATTTCGCTGAGAAAACAAATAAGAGTTCGCATGTTGCACAGATTCCATCAGTTTTGTTTTATACAGTTGGATTTACAGAACTATTAGCAAAGCCAAATCACGGTGTGAGGAAGACTCTGTTCTTCCATTTTCCAGATTCTTCTTTACCTGCCCTTCATTAACATCTATAGCAATGATTGGCCACCAATGAGCTACGAATCATATAAAAAGGATTATCTGTTCAGTACAACGTTTATTTTTTCTACATTCATAGGTGATACGCATTGTGAAATAGAAGTAATGTTATCATCCATCAAGAAAATTAAGAAAAAACTCATTTATAAGCATTTACCGAGCATAGTTCTATAGCTATCGGTGACCATCGTCTTATCGGTCTCCAAAATGGTATAAAATTAAATTCCTCTTTCATTGTTTGATTCGAGTTCATACTTTTACACAAATTAAAGCAGCCTATGTTTTATAAATTAAAATACTTAAACATTATTTTCGAGCATTAATTAAATTTTTCATGAAAAAAATTAAGGAACTTTATACAAGAAAATCATACTCGTCAATGTCTTGTTCAGTCATGTTTCCGAAGTTTACAGGCTTCATAATAGCGGCATTGTTTACCAACAAGTCAATAGGTCCGATGCTCTCAATAGCAGATTTCGTAGATTCCCAATTACCAACATCCAAGCAAACCGTTTTTATATTCTTGTTCTAAAACAAATTAATTAAACTGATTTATTTTTGAAGGATACTTAAGAAAAAAACATACTCTGATTAATATTTCATGAAAAACAACTCATTTAATAATTTGGAATTTAGTTATTGGCTATTATAGATGGAAAATAACTGCACTTACGACTGTTTGCAATTCATCTAAATCTAATTGCGTGCGGCTGACAGCGACAACTTCAGCTCCACATTCAGCCAGCCTAATAGTCACTGCTTTTCCAATACCTTAGTAAAAACAATTGAAATAAAGTGAATTTTGAGTTATTTCATACATTTTTCACGCTTGGCATTCTTTCATGATAATAAAACTACAATGGTCTTTACTGCATGGACGTGCATACAACTGGGTATTTGAAATTCGAGAAGAAGAGTACAGCTAAAATTCCATGGTTGTGCCTAATCAGGTGGTTGAATACAGGCTTGGCTTATTATCAGCTGAATCTATTTTCGTATTAATTTTAATTGGATGCCTACAAGCAATGTCACATGTGTGTTTTAAACGTAATTAGCTGCTGAATCGTGGAATAAACAGTTGCCACGATTTACCCACGTTTGACGCAGCTTGCAAGTATCCAATACAGAAAATGAAAAATAAAATCGGTGCACAATTACTTTTGATCCTCCGGATTTTCAATCCCTAAGATGCAAACTGTTTAATTTGAGGGCGTAACCATACGTTGCGCAAATGATATTTGAAATTTCGAAATTAGACACAAAAAATTTTTTATTCTAATAAAGTTGCATTTTATAGAAAATTCCTTCAAACTTTTAATTGTAACTAAAAATGACAAATCCCAAATTTAAGCGAAAGCAATCAAATAAATATTAAACGGTAAAACTTCAAATTAGTCATATTTTAAGTGTTATTTCTTCAAATTCAAATTATAGGTTAAAACTTCGTAATAATTTTCATATCTTCCAATCTAAAATGTTTTTGAAACACATGTTATTATAATAAATAAAAAAAATTAATTGCTTTAGCATGCGTTCACCTTTGAATAAATGAGTTTCAGCTTTAAGTACAAACTATTTGTGCGTTTATATATTTCATGTGATATCTCCAAATACGCAAAGAGTAAAAACAATATTTAGAAGTTAAAATAATTTTGCCCTCTTTTTTTATGATTGGGTCCAAAACATTCAAGACATGCATCACATACTTTGAGGATCAAACAACCGAGTCCAGAGGACAAAAAAAAAAAAATTTATTTTTTTATTTAGAAAAAAATACATTTTTGCGTGTGATTTCACAATTTAAAATGTTTTTAGCTTTATTTAATTAAGAATGTCAAAAGGAAATGAGGGGCCGAGACATCCTGGTCGGTAGGGCTCTGGGCCCATGTCCGAGATTTTATGGGTTCGAACCCCTCCTGCAAAGTCCTCTTTGTTCCCATAACAAATCAGCTGCACTACAGTAATACAGATATTCACTACAGTAGTTTTAAATGCGGTTGTAGAAGAATGAGTATTTTAATATACATGAGAATTTTTATTTGAGTAGTTAATTAATTCTAATGAACTTAAACATTATCATCGGAACATATTATCGGAAGCAAGACTGATGGCTTGGTGGCCAAAAATGATTGGCATTAGTATAATTATTTTTTTTCCGTTTTATTAAGTAGATAATTAGAAATTCATTTCATCAAAAGAGCTGAAGTCATTACTCTCCTTCAGGTAATGATTTAAATCAATACCTCTGGGGGTACTGGATTGGAGATCGATCGTTCTCTGATGCAGGTCAAAATTATGGATGAATGAATGGATGTATGAATGAGTCCGCCCTATAAACGGGTGTGACGTATGTGTATGGCTGAAGTCGAATTCTTTGACCATAAATGGCGCCACTGGAAAACAAGAACAATCGCACTTCTCTGTCTAAACAGGTATACGTCAGCAACAACGAAGGGAAACAAAAATGGAGAATCGGAGGAATGTTATTAGTTATTTGGCGTTATTGATTTGAAAGAAAAATAACGAATCGGAGGAAGGTTATTAATTATCTGCAAGTTATTTGGCGGATTGTAGAAAAAGGAATTTAAAATTTAACTTTTTCAAAGAGCTTCCCATCGTCGCAAACCAATGAATTGGAATGACATGCTGGCTAAGATTTCACAAAAAAAGAGAAACTCTCATATTTTGCACGCTTTAACTTTCCTCCTTTATAAAATGTGAACTACATAAGTACTTTTTCTTATTCTAAAAGTGAACTACTTTTACTACTCATAAATGAACGCTAAGTTTTCCTGTCACCCACTAATTTGTCGCAGTTGAACAATACTCTCGATAATTCCACATCCATCATTAAAAATATATCGCCACAAATATATTTATCTATATTAAAATCTTCGTATCTGAATATTTAGATGAACTATTTTTTTCAAACTTAATTTGTTGCAGTTAAAATCAAAAATATCTTTGTCTTCAATTATCTTAGTGTAAGTAATTTCACATGGTGTATGTTTGCGAAGAACCCATAAGAGAAAGTAAAAAAAAGGAAAGTTTCATTATCTTACACAAAATTTTAAAATAATGCATATTTTAAGTTATTGTATGTTTTGATTTTCTTTTGGGATATTTCGATAAAGCTTTATCTTTTAAAAAGAATTTAAGAGGTACCGAAAGAAGTAAGAAATACCAATTAAGAGGCATTCTAAAAATCATTATTCGTATAGTTTTTTCTTTTTTTTTTTTTAATTTTAAGTCAGAATTAAAATAGTTCTCAAACTAAGCAATTAAAAGGGAACCATATTGCTTGATCATTTAAAAAGTTACTTAATTTTTTTAAATATATTTTTAGAATATTCCTACACCATATTCAAAGTTTTACTAAGATTATTGTGTGTAGCCTGTTGTCTTTTGCTCTGAAAATTTGTGGTACGATGTGGTCTAAGCGGCAAAATTTAACTATTTAACTCTTTGACTACTAACTGGACTCATTTGTCTCAACAAATGTTTAAAAATTACTAATGGGGTAAAAAGCATTTAGAAACTCATAGTAATATGTCCCATTCGTAGAGTCGAACCAAGTATACGTGTTTCTTGTGTCAAATATCCCCTAGATGGCGCTAAGGAGTTTCTTGCATGAAATAGCATTGTGATTTTGCGCTGGGACAGATATATCCCACTAGTAATTTTCATTGGGACAGATATATCCCACTCGTATTCTTTACTAGGATTGTTATGTCCATTCATATTTTCTCACATGAACATAGAAAAAAGAACAAACATGAGTTGTCCAGTGTGTAATATCGGGTTATGCAAAGATTGCTTCACCCTGTATCATATCATGTAAAAAAAAAGTCTATATAATAAATTTTTCCGGAATGATAGATGTTCTTGTAGTAAGTCGTTAACTGCAGGTGGGACATATGTATTCCACCATTAAGTACGGTCGGACATATATGTCCCAGCCTCTAAATTGATAACCGCTTGTCAGAAAAATCCCAAATACTAAATTTGCCCTATTTGTGACCTATTTTGTCCTTTTGAATAATAAACGGGACAAAAAAAATCATTTTTTAAGTTCGTAGTCACAGGGTTAACCTAATATGTAAACTCTTTACCTTAACAAACCAATAAAAAGTAGTTGAGAAGAAATAGTTTTTAAATGATAAATTATTTCGCACTAAAAAAACCAACTAGAATATATTAGAGACATTAAATTTAAAAATATATTTTTGATATTTAACTCGAATCCTTCATTTTCATTTATGCCAAGAAATTGTTTTTTGAAAATACCCATCATAGTGCTGTTGCTAGGCATAGTTTACAATTTGTTTTAAAACTTCTCTAAAGTATGAAAAAAGACATTTAAACAATTAATAAAATCAACTAAATTTACAATAAAGCATTTCATTACCTTTTCCTGCTCCTGTAACTAGAGCTCTTTTACCATCGAATTGGATATTCATATTTTCTTTTTATGAATTTTTGTTTGAGGTAAAACTACTATTTTACAGTTTAGGCAGGTTGTGACCCTTTTAAACAAATATTCGAGAAATGGGAGTACTTAAAAATCGTCAATGTCTTATCTTTCATTGTGTATGATAAAGAAAAAAAAACATTTCAGACCGTAAATAAAGAGAAAAAAGATATTATTCCTCATTGAATGTTTTATCGTGAGATAAAGAATGCAAGTATTTTTTGAAGGAATGACTATGCAAAAAATTGCAATGATTAAATAATGCAACTTTAAAACTCAAATGCTTTTGAACATTTACGTGAGAAACGTTACGATACGGTGCATGTGAAAACTTTAACTATTAAAAATATTGAATAGTTATTTTTTTCTTCAAAATTTTGAAATATTTTCCTCAGAATAATATCGATTTGTAGATATGCCATGTATATGCAATAAATTTAAATGCAAGTGAAATAAGAAATATATCACTTTGAATAATAAACATTTTTTTTGAAACACTGTACAAAATTCTTTAAAAAAATATTATATGAAGCTCAAGTACTTTGGTCGCAACATCCGTAAAATCCATTTTTTCGTAACATCCATTTGTACTGTAAAATATGATACTGCAATTTTAATAGCAATTTTTATTTTATTAGAGTGATTCAGTCATTATATGGTAATTATTACTGTAAATATTACGGTATATCAGATTTTTTTTTTTGCAACATGCTCCTGTAAAAATGGATTTTAAAAAAAACCGATACCCTGAATGCCGGTACGCAGTTACATAACATTTTTTCTTGATATATAAATTTTATAAATTTAAAAATTCTCGTTTAGAATGAATTGATTAATTAGGTTAGTAAAATTTTCAGACAGGGTGAATCGTAATGAGGTTAATATTTGCTGCAATCTTAAAATGTTTCAAATAGAATCATATTATCGTACTTCTTAAACTTGAGGTAAAATCCTAGTATATATCAGGGCTAACGAGAATAGAAGGGCTAGTTCACTCCGCTCTTAGAGCTGAAGCTACGATTTCCCTCCTCATGACGTCACTGTGTCCACAGATCTCGGAGATCGCAAGCAACGATATGATAACTTTGCATCTTTCTCTTTGTAAAAATAAGTTAGACTTTTTCTGGTTATTAGCTTTCAAACTTTACGTAATTAACACATTATTTCCGCTCATAAACATAGTTTAAAAAAAAAACTTTCTTGGTTATTATATTACAAAAAATACCATTTTAAACTTATAAAAGTGTTTTGCTAGTTGGCGAAAATGACACGATAAATACTTTATTTTAAAAAGTTCAGTTTTAACTTTAACTATTAAGAAAAATGAAGGCATATATCGACACTTTTTTTATCTTCATATTCTTTTATAACGATAGGTTGAGTTAAATTTAGAATCCCTGATTTTAAAATATGTTGTTAATAGCAATTTGTTCATACTTAATCTTTAGGAAACATCAACCTTAAACGCTAATTACTGAAACAAAATAATAATTTAGGTTCATAATGACATCAGAAATTTTACAATTGTTTATAGACATTTAAATTTACGATGATATAATATATAGATATTTAAATTGAAGAGAATATAATTTTTAAAAAAAATCATAAATATTTAGAATAACTACATTAAAAAATATGTTATGAAATTAGGAGAATTTCAACTATATACTATATATTTTATTTATACTTTTTACTTACATTTTAATTTTCTTTGACTTTATCTATTTTTTAATTCTTTTCACCTGCCTTTCTTTATGAAGTAACGAGGCGGTTTCTATTTAGATAATGAATTTTTATAAAAGTTCTTTACGACAGAATAAACGTATTGCTGTTTTATATTAACTGTGTCATTTCGGAATCCATTCTTTACATAGTTGTTCATTTACTTTAGGGAACACGCGAAAAATTATACTTTTTCCTTTTGTTTTTATATCAGAATTTTTGCAAGTTGCAATCGCGCAAACTGGCATTTCGATAATAGTTTTAAATTCTTGTAAATTCACTGCAAAAACTGAGGAAAGTCATTATAGAAAATAACAAATGTCTTAGAATATCTCGCAAAAAGAAATGATCCAATATTAGTTAGAGCTAGTAAGGCCGAACGCTCCGTTCTTGAAGTAAAAGTGCGAGCTTTGCGCCAAAGTGACGTCACTAGAGAAAATCGGAGGATCGTCGCGGCGAGAGATACTTCAAAGGAGTGAACCAGCCCTCTGGTCCTGAGTATATGTTACCTACTTGGCGCAATTTTGAAAAACATCGCCATCGATGAAGTGACACGTTAACGCTTGTCGCCTAATTTATTACCAACGCAATGGAACGTTTTTACAATTTTTGGCAAGAATTGGTGTTGGCCAAAAGATAGAAAATCATAACTTGAAAATGACTAATACATAAACAAATCTCAAATCTGCAAAATCATTCCCCGAATCCTAAAATGCAAAATGGCTAATAAGCAATAGCCCACCGCATACGTCATGCCCATCGAAATCTCGCCAAATTTACAACTACAGGTAGGAAACTTTATTGCCGTTCCAAACATCACCATAGTTACCAAATCCACCGTGTCACCTATACTAGGATCAAGCCGATATATCAAGTATATATCAAACATATTTCAAGTTGAACGGAAACATGGAAGACATTTTTAACTTATTAAGGTTGCAGCAAAATCGTACCGTATTATTGCTCAGCATGAAATGAATTTTTATGACAGTGAACTTTTAAAGAAATACTTAAATTTGTGACTAGTATTCTAAATGTTCTAATATCGGTATGACAAAGAAAAAATGGTCCGAATTTTTTTTTTTTTTTTTTCATTTTACTTACGAGGAAAGAACCGCTTCAAATTTTGATTTAGTTTTTCTATTATTATTGTTCATTATTATTTTTTATTAGATTGCAAACAGCAACTAGTTTGAAATCAATGTGTTGTTATTGCAAAAAAAGAAACTTGAATTTTTTATCAAAACATTAAATTAAAAAAATTTTAATTTGATAAATACCCGTGAAAAAATTTTACAAATTTATCAGCAACCTAGCTGTTTATGTGGTATGTCATACCTGCAAGTGACGTTGCGTAGGTATCTCGATCCTGATTAGTTGTTGAATTGTGGCAATTGTTGACGTCAGATACTGTTCTTTCCATTCTTATTCGAGTAAGCCAAGCCCGTCATGTATCAATCCTCTTAAGTGATACATTCTATAGTCTTTCACAAAAAATTCAATTATTTCACTATGATTTTCTTACTAAACACAAAGATATGCACGAAGTCTTGTAGAACATGAACAAACTAATTACGCATCGAAGTTGCCAGGTACACAAACCAAAAATATATCATGGTTACATAAAAAGACTTAAACAACTGTTAATGCGTTTAAGACGTAGACGGGAAACAATTATGTTTCAAGAAATTCGATGTGCGACATGGCACTGTATTTAACTAATTTTACGTTAATTAATATTTTGACTTATATGGAGAAACTTAGCTCCACTTTAACACGCTATTTTGCTTATAAAACGTACAACTGACACTGGCGTCATAGGTCATATGTGTGGGCATCATTGATCTTCTTGAAATGCAAGTACCCAATTACCAAAAACTACAATGAAAAACTGAAATTTAGCGTAAAACTCAATGAACAATACTGGAGTTAAACTACTTTTTTTTTTACCTGAAATAAAAATTCATTAAATAATAAAAGATTTAACAAAGCTACTTCTTACATTTTAAATCACTTACTTCTTCCAGCAGCTCGAGAAACTAACGTCAGTTTCCGATCAAAAAAGCAAATATCCATTCATATAGTTTATTTTTTGAAAATTTTGATTACGTGAATTGATTTTTCAAATTTCTGTTTTCCCTTTTTATTGCCTCCATCCCAATGAATAATAAATAATTCAATAACAAGACTTACATTTCAATAAAAATATTATCAATCAATCAATCTATTAAAAATTAAGGATAAATTGAAAAAAAAATAAAAACCCAGAACGTTTCAGAAGAAACCTTATTTCTTTAAGGTAGTGATAATAATTCCAACAGTTTCAAAATTTAAGATAAAATTGTTTACAAAAGTAATAGACTTCTTCAGAACATAAATTTTATCCATTTCATTGGTATATTCCATTTTTATTCATTCCTTAGCGAGATCTAGAAAGAAACGAAAATGAATCTGTACGGGCCAAAAATATTAATGATGCTCAGAATCCCGTAAAGATTTCATTAAAGTTTTTTTTCTGCTCTGTAACAAGGGAAATTTCAGTATGTCTCTTCTGAAAATTAAAAAAACCAACACTAAATCGGTCTTCGAATGTAAAAATACGTTGCAGACCTGTACAATGTTTGAAGACTGTAGAAAATAAAATGGATTCAACCACATCACCCATTTCGAACTTTATCTGTGTGAGTGATGTATTCTGTGTTTTATCACTAAACACAGAAGTATTGAAAACATAATGAAACATAATGGGAAATATGGCAATTATGACAGATGAGGGCCTTCGCATTGAAAGTAAAGAAACCTATCATGACCTTTAATTGATAACATAAAACTTTTTTCTGCAAGATTTGCATCGTAAGTTTTCTTTATAATGGAACGTAATGTGTGCATAATTTTTGTTTACTTGCATTATAAAATAGCATTAAGGCTAAATGCAAAAACTAAACTGAGAAAAGTAATGAATGCTAAGTGAGAATACTAATGTAAACGCAACAATTCTTACCCAACATAATCTAAAATAGAGTGACTTGTGCAAGAACTATATTACTTCGATATACGTTCAAGCTGATTATATTTTATCACCAACAAAGTGAGAGATACACTTTGGTACAGGCGACAATATTCTGCTTACTTGACATAATCTTTTTCATCTTCCTCACCTTCTTTGACTTTCTATCAGTCATTTCAGTGTCTAAGAAAATGGTAAACATTTTCACGAAAGCATTTCAAAACATAAAACTTTTCTGCCAAATTAATTTAAATTGTTATTTTACACTATCCGCATATAATTGTTGACTATAACAATTCTAACAATCTTATTCTTTCATAGATTTCATATTTTGTATAACTCAACTTCTCTATTTATCGTCTATTTATCGTATTTGACACTTATCTACTAAACAATGCATTCGAAAGCAGAAAAGGTTTTCAAGTCTTACGTTAATAGACAAATGATCACTAGAATCTAAAACGCTTGTCCTCTTATTCATATTAATAAAAACTACATTCACAGCTGAAATTGAAATGAAGAAAATAATCAAATACAACAATGCATATTAGTAAATAGCATTCTATGAAAATATTACTGGGTTCCATGTCAATTTAAAGGTTTAGTATGAATGAATATTTTCTGTTTCTTGATTATAAAAAGTTGGCTAAATCATTAAACTTCATTAAAGAATCAAAATCGCAGAAAATCAAGTAATTTTATCAGTAATATTATAAATAACACTTTTCAAAATTTATTCTTTTATTTGTAAGTTGTGATCAAGTTTTGTGGCAAAAAGTGTGTCTTAAATGAAAAATATATTTTACATGAAAAATCGAAAATATTTAATATGAAAAATATATTATTTAAATATATTATATATTCCTATAGTGTTGAATTGAAAATTCTCTTTTTCATGACAAAACTTGTAAATTTTATTTCAAATTCAGTGCATTCTTTTAAAATTGTATAATGCGTATTCTTCACTTGAATCACTTCAAATTACGAAAGAAACACTATTGACACTGATTATTTAAACAGTTCCTCTCTATCTAATGTATATATTAGAAAATATTAAAATAATTTTTTTTCAATGGTAAAGTGCTATAAATTTCCTTTATATGTAAAAATAGAATTGATGTTCATTTTATATAACTCTTATTGTTTGATTTCAAATACAAGATAGATGAAAATGATATAAAAAATGATATAATAATGAATAGAATAGCATTGAATAGATAGCATTGATATAGAATAGCATTTAAAATGATAAAATAATGTGCGCTTTAAAATTATGTATTAAAAAGACATAAGTAACAAATATATCTTTTTAATATTTATAGAATTTTGTTAGCCTTAAAATCTGCTTTAACCAAAATTTTTACTTTTTTCAAAGATTACATACAAGTTAAAAAAAAAAGTGTAGTAACATTTATGCTGTGTTTTTACCAGCATTGGAACTGATCATTACTTTCCAATACTGAAAAGCCATCATACAGTGACGCCAAATTTTATGAACTATCTGCTCAAGCGCTTAAGAATCTGTACTTTTATCTCCGTAAAGTTGCATAATTTTATGTCTAATGTGTTCCGATATTTTTTGATGCACAGTGCGCAAAATAAAAAACAGACAAAGCTAGTGAGACGCTCTCCGAGTTGTCCCAGTTACTGTTTTTTCAAGCTATACAGTTCTAACTTCCTTGTCGCATCATAATACTATTTTTTGCAACAATTCGTTTTAAATATTTAAAATAATTCTGTGTAAAAACTAGATACAACAGTATATACAAAACTCGTAACAGGTAATAACATTCATTTAATCAATCAAATTGTAAGTGTCATAGTTATTAATCTTTTTTGATGAATTATTCACATTAAAAATAATACATTTTCAGTCATATGAAGTTTGTTGTAAGGAAGTACACACTTTTGAAATCAAATATTTTTTTCTTTACAATTAATCTCAAATAAAACATAGTTTTATGTAAGAAATGCCTTTCATTTTCTTATAAATCAGTAAGAAGAGTAATATTTTCGCGGAAAAATATATCCAATGAATATTTCTAGTTATAAAAAGAGCTACATTTTGTATAGAACTATATTATATTTGAATTGAAATTTGATTTGTTATAGTAATCAATATTACATTACAAAATAACAAAAATAACTTTCAAATTTCATTATTTTAAAAGAGTATTAATCTGTAGTTTGAACGTCATAGTTAACAGCGTATGATACGCTTATCAAGAAAACATTGATTAATTTTAGCTAAAAAACATTTGCAATTCCTCCATCAATGGGCAATGTTATTCCACTAATCAGGGATGCATATTCACTCAGCAAAAATAATATCGGGTATGCAACATCGTCCACTTCTAAAAAAAAAGGAAAAAAAAGAATGAAGAATATATTTAATATAGTTTAAGTAATATTTATAATAAATCTTTAAAATATTCTCAACCACAAATAGCTTAAAACCAATTGTGTTTCTCATGTATGAATGTAATTGCATTAAAAATTTATTATGCAATATAAGACGCTGACTCACTACGCCGAAAACAATAGAATATTTATTTAACACAAATGTCATTATGAAGGCAAAAAGTTATGGTTGAAATATAGAAAGAATGAGACTCACGGGCTTACAAACATTTGCTTTTATGCATATCAGCAAATCAGTTTTTAAAAATAATGACAATCCAAAGGAAAGTAACTACGATGAACATCCCGAGTATTTATAGTAAATGAATATTAATCTCAATATATAGTTCAAAATTTCATCGTTTGTTTGATTTGACCCTGACTGAAACGTTTATCATTCCTGTTTTTACATCAAGATTTTTCTTAGTGTTTCCTTTTTCAAACTCTAATAAAATGGTATATTTTAAATAAGTTGTCTTTTAAGTACGTGGTTTACATTACTGTAGAAACTATATATATATATATATATATATATCCTAAGTTAAGAATTTGCTGTCGCAATGCCTCGCCTGACCCAATTTTGCTTTTTTGGTGCCTAAAGGGGTGACTCATCAAAGCATATTAACCTCTTAACTTGTGCGCTCGAGTTAATTCGAGGTCGCTAAACAGG